CTCTATATGTGACAGTTCTCATATTCCTTCTCTATATGTGATAGTTGTCATATTCCTTCTCTATGTGTGATAGTTCTCATATTCATTCTCTATATATGATAGTTCTCATATTCATTCTCTATATGTGACAGTTCTCATATTCATTCTCTATATGTGACAGTTCTCATATTCCTTCTCTGTATGTGACAGTTCTCATATTCCTTCTCTATATGTGACAGTTCTTATATTCATTCTCTATATGTGACATTTGTTATATTCATTTTCTATATGTGACAGTTCTTATATTCATTCTCTATATGTGACAGTTCTCATATTCATTCTCTATATGTGACAGTTCTTATATTCCTTCTCTATATGTGACAGTTCTTATATTATTTCTCTATGTGTGACAGTTCTTTTATTCCTTCTCTATATGTGACAGTTCTTATATTCATTCTCTATATGTGACAGTTCTTATATTCCTTCTCTATATGTGACCGTTCTTATATTCCTTGTCACATTTGACAGGTCTCATATTGTCATATTCAAAGTGCCCATGTGACATTCTGATCTTTTCTGTCCTCAACATGACAGTTTTCATTTTTCAAGTCCGCATATCACTTCTGAAATTACCGGCCTCATGTGACGGTTCTTCTATCTCCATTCTAAGTGTGACACTTCTCAAATTCCCTGCCTCGTGTGACAGTTCTCTTATCTCCAGTCAATGTGTGACACTTCTCTTATTTTCTGCCTCATGTAACAATTCTCCTATCTCCAGTCTAAGTGTGACACTTTTCATATTCCCTGCCTCATGTAACAGTTCTCCTATCCCCAGTCTAATTGTGACACTTCTTATATTCCCTGCCTCATGTAACAGTTCTCCAATTCCCAGTCTAAGAGTGACACTTCTCATATTCCCTGCCTCATGTAACAGTTCTCCTATCCCCAGTCTAAGAGTGACACTTCTCATATTCCCTGCCTCATGTGACAGTTCTACTATCCCCAGTCTAAGAGTGACACTTCTCATGTTCCCTGCCTCATGTGACAGTTCTCCTATCCCCAGTCTAAGTGTGTCACTTCTTATATTACCTGCTTCATGTGACAGTTCTCCTATCCGCAGTCTAAGTGTGACACTTTTCATATTCCCTGCTTCACGTGACAGTTCTCCTATCCCCAGTCTAAGTGTGACACTTTTCATATTCCCTGCCTCATGTAACAGTTCTCCTATCCCCAGTCTAATTGTGACACTTCTTATATTCCCTGCCTCATGTAACAGTTCTCCAATTCCCAGTCTAAGAGTGACACTTCTCATATTCCCTGCCTCATGTAACAGTTCTCCTATCCCCAGTCTAAGAGTGACACTTCTCATATTCCCTGCCTCATGTGACAGTTCTACTATCCCCAGTCTAAGAGTGACACTTCTCATGTTCCCTGCCTCATGTGACAGTTCTCCTATCCCCAGTCTAAGTGTGTCACTTCTTATATTACCTGCCTCATGTGACAGTTCTCCTATCCGCAGTCTAAGTGTGACACTTTTCATATTCCCTGCTTCACGTGACAGTTCTCCTATCCCCAGTCTAAGTGTGACACTTTTCATATTCCCTGCTTCACGTGACAGTTCTCCTATCCGCAGTCTAAGTGTGACACTTTTCATATTCCCTGCCTCATGTGACAGTTCTCCTATCCCCAGTCTAAGTGTGACACTTTTCATATTCCCTGCCTCATGTGACAGTTCTCCTATCCCCAGTCTAAGTGTGACACTTTTCATATTCCCTCAGACATGTGACAGTTCTCCTATCCGCAGTCTAAGTGTGACACTTTTCATATTCCCTGCTTCATGTGACAGTTCTCCTATCCGCAGTCTAAGTGTAAAACTTCTCAAATTCCCTGTCCCATGTGACACTTCGCATATTCTCTTTCCCATGTAACAGTTCTCATATTCCCTATCCCATGTAACAGTTCTCATATTCCATGTCTATGTGTGACACTGCTCATATTCCCTATCCCATGTAACAGTTCTCATATTCCCTATCCCATGTGACAGTTCTCATATTCCCTATCCCATGTGACAGTTCTCATATTCCCTATCCCATGTGACTGTTCTCATATTCTCTATCCCATGTGACAGTTCTCATATTCCCTATCCCATGTGACAGTTCTCATATTCCCTATCCCGTGTGACAGTTCTCATATTCACTATCCCATGTTACAGTTCTCATATTCCCTATCCCATGTGACAGTTCTCATATTCCCTATCCCATGTGACAGTTCTCATATTCCCTATCCCATGTGACAGTTCTCATATTCCCTATCCCATGTGACAGTTCTCATATTCCCTGTCCCATGTAACAGTTCTCATATTCCCTGTCCCATGTAACAGTTCCTATAATCCCTGTCCCATGTAACAGTTCCTATATTCCCTGTCCCATGTAACAGTTCCTATATTTCCTGTCCCATGTAACAGTTCCTAAATTCCCTGTCCCATGTAACAGTTCCTATATTTCCTGTCCCATGTTTAGGTTTAGGCCTTCAACAGATGCCCCTTTTTTTCTAATTGTACAATTAGATCTGGTGAGGTAAATCGATGCCAGTGGTGATGTATCTAAGGCGGTATCGCCAGGCAAATGTCACAGCTTCAGCCCGCGGCCTAGTCCTAGTTAAACTTGACAGGCAAATGTCACAGCTTCAGCCCTCGGCCTAGTCCTAGTTAAACTTGACAGGCAAATGTCACAGCTGCTGCCCGCTGCCTAGTCTTAGTTAAACTTGACAGGCAAATGTCACAGCTACAGCCTGCGGCCTAGTCCTAGTTAAACTTGACAGGCAAATGTCACAGCTACAGCCTGCGGCCTAGTCCTAGTTAAACTTGACAGGCAAATGTCACAGCTACAACCCGCTGCCTAGTCTTAGTTAAATTTGACAGGCAATGTTTGTTATGATTGGATCTGGGCCACCAGGTGACAAGGTTGACACATTTCTGTCAATCTTGGCCAAGTTTTCAGAACTGGCTGTCGTCGTCAAGGCGAGGTGACAAGAGACCGGTATCTCACAGGTCCCCAGGATGTGCAGCAGTTTGTCAGACAGAACCCTGAGCTTGTCCACTGTTAGAAGGTCCCTGGTGCCAGCACTTTGTTGTCTCAGTCAATCTCCTGGCGATGGCGGCACTTTGTTGTCTCAGTCAATCTCCTAACGATGCCGGCACTTTGTTGCCTCAGTCAATCTCCTAACGATGGTGGCACTATGTTGTCTCAGTCAACCTCCTAACGATGCCGGCACTTTGTTGTCTCAGTCAATCTCCTAACGATGGTGGCACTTTGTTGTCTCAGTCAATCTCCTAACGATGGTGGCACTTTGTTGTCTCAGTCAATCTCCTAACGATGCCGGCACTTTGTTGTCTCAGTCAATCTTCTGGCGATGCCGGCACTTTGTTGTCTCAGTCAATCTCCTAACAATGCCGGCACTTTGTTGTCTCAGTCAATCTCCTAACGATGCCGGCACTTTGTTGTCTCAGTCAATCTCCTAACAATGCCGGCACTTTGCTGTATCAGTCAATCTTCTAACGATGGAGGGGGAAAAGGGGTGGGGGGGGGGGGCTTTATAACCTCAATCAAAATCCTATGTCCCATCTCATGTGCACACACAATGGCTGTCAGTAACTGTGACTGTCTCATGTCATGTGGGCACACAATGGCTGTCAGTAACTGTGACAGTCTCATGTCATGTGGGCACACAATGGCTGTCAGTAACTGTGACTGTCTCATGTCATGTGGGCACACAATGGCTGTCAGTAACTGTGACTGTCTCATGTCATGTGGACACACAATGGCTGTCAGTAACTGTGACTGTCTCATGTCATGTGGGCACACAATGGCTGTCAGTAACTGTGACTGTCTCATGTCATGTGGGCACACAATGGTTGTCAATAACTGTCTCATGTCATGTGGGCACACAATGGCCGTCAGTAACTGTGACTGTCTCATGTCATGTGGACACACAATGGCTGTCAGTAACTGTAACTGTCTTGTGTCATGTGGACACACAGTGGCTGTCAGTAACTGTGACTGTCTCATGTCATGTGGGCACACAATGGTTGTCAGTAACTGTGTGTCAGTAACTGTGACTGTCTCATGTCATGTGAGCACACAATGGTTGTCAGTAACTGTGACTGTCTCATGTCATGTGGGCACACAATGGCCGTCATTAACTGTGACTGTCTCATGTCATGTGGGCACACAATGGCCGTGAGTAACTGTGACTGTCTCATGTCATGTGGGCACACAATGGTTGTCAGTAACTGTGACTGTCTCATGTCATGTGGGCACACAATGGCCGTGAGTAACTGTGACTGTCTCATGTCATGTGGGCACACAGTGGCTGTCAGTAACTGTGCCTGTCTCATGTCATGTGGGCACACAGTGGCTGTCTGTAACTGTGACTGTCTCATGTCATGTGGGCACACAATGGCTTTCAGTAACTGTGCCTGTCTCGTGTCATGTGGACACACAGTGGCTGTCAGTAACTGTAACTGTCTCATGTCATGTGAGCACACAATGGTTGTCAGTAACTGTCTCATGTCAAGTGGGCACACAATGGTTGTCACTAACTGTGACTGTCTCATGTCATGTGGGCACACAATGGCCGTCAGTAACTGTGACTGTCTCATGTCATGTGGGCACACAATGGTTGTCAGTAACTGTGACTGTCTCATGTCATGTGGGCACACACTGGTTGTCAGTAACTGTGACTGTCTCATGTCATGTGGGCACACAATGGCTGTCAGTAACTGTGCCTGTCTCATGTCATGTGGGCACACAATGGTTGTCAGTAACTGTGACTGTCTCATGTCATGTGGGCACACAATGGCTGTCAGTAACTGTGCCTGTCTCATGTCATGTTGGCACACAATGGTTGTCGGTAACTGTAACTGTCTCATGTCATGTTTGCACACAATGGTTGTCAGTAACTGTGACTGTCTCATGTCATGTGGGCACACAATGGCCGTCAGTAACTGTGACTGTCTCATGTCATGTGGGCACACAATGGCTTTTAGTAACTGTGACTGTAACTGTGACTGTGACTGTAACTGTAACTGTAACTGTAACTGTGACTGTGACTGTGACTGTGACTGTAAGTGTGACTGTGACTGTGACTGTAACTGTGACTGTGACAGTAACTGTGACAGTAACTGTGACTGTGACAGTAACTGTGACTGTGACAGTAACTGTGACTGTAACTGTGACTGTAACTGTGAATGTGACAGTAACTGTGACTGTGACAGTAACTGTGACTGACAGTAACTGTAACTGTGGCTGTGACTGTGACTGTAACTGTGACTGTAACTGTGACTGTGACAGTAACTGTAACTGTAACTGTGACTGTAACTGTAACTGTAACTGTAACTGTGACTGTGACTTTGACTGTAACTGTGACTGTGACTGTATTTGTGACTGTGACTGTGACTGTGACTGTGACTGTAACTGTGACTGTAACTGTGACTGTAACTGTAACTGTGACTGTAACTGTAACTGTGACTGTAACTGTGACTGTAACTGTAACTGTGACTGTGACTACAAGTGACAATCGGTCGACTGTCTCTTAAACCGCAGCTGCTGAACCCCGCATCTTATGTGCCAACGAGATCTTCGTGATGGGAATACCATCGCTTGGTCACAGGCTGAATGGTGGTCACTGGAATCCTATCGCTTGGTCACAGGCTGAATGGTGGTCACTGGAATCCTATCGCTTGGTCACAGGCTGAATGGTGGTCACTGGAATCCTATCGCTTGGTCACAGGCTGAATGGTGGTCACTGGAATCCTATCGCTTGGTCACAGGCTGGATGGTGGTCACTGGAATCCTATCGCTTGGTCACAGGCTGAATGGTGGTCACTGGAATCCTATCGCTTGGTCACAGGCTGAATGGTGGTCACTGGAATCCTATCGCTTGGTCACAGGCTGAATGGTTGTCACTGGAATCCTATCGCTTGGTCACAGGCTGAATGGTTGTCACTGGAATCCTATCGCTTGGTCACAGGCTAAATGGTGGTCACTGGAATCCTATCGCTTGGTCACAGGCTGAATGGTTGTCACTGGAATCCTATCGCTTGGTCACAGGCTGAATGGTTGTCACCGGAATCCTATCGCTTGGTCACAGGCTGAATGGTGGTCCATGTGCAACATTTCTCTAGAGTTCAGTCTGGAACGAGCTTTCCAACATCTGTTATGTTTTCCCTTCCACATATGTTATGTCTTCCCTCTTACATATGTTATGACACTCTCACGTCTATTGTGTCTTCCCTCTCACATCCGTCATGTCTTCCCTCTCACATCTCTTATGTCTTCCCTCTTACATCAGTTATGACACTCTCACATCTGTTATGTCTTCTTTCTCTCATCTCTTATGTCTTCCTTCTCACATATGTTGTCTTCCCTCTTACATCTGTTATGCCTTCCCTCTCACATCTAATATGTCTTCCCTCTCACATCTGTCAAGTCTTCTCTCTTAGATCTTTAATGTTTTCCAGCTCACATCTGTTATGAAACTCTCACATCTGTTGTGTATTCCCTCTCATATCTGTCATGTCTTCTCTCTCACATCTTTGTCTTCCCTCTTACATCTGTTGTGACACTCTCACATCTATTGTGTGTTCCCTCTCACATCTGTCATGTCTTCCCTCTCACATCTGTCATGTCTTCCCTCTCACATCTCTTATGTTTTTCCTCTCACATCTGTCATGTCTTCCCTCTCACATCTATGTCTTCGCTCTCACATCTATTTCTTCCCTCTTACATCTGTTGTGACACTCTCACATCTATTATGTCTTCCCTCTCACATCTGTCATGTCTTCCCTCTCACATCTCTTATGTCTTCCCTCTCACCTCTATTATGTCTTCCCTCTTACATATGTTATGACACTCTCACGTCGATTGTGTCTTCCTTTTCACATCTGTTATGTCCTCCCTCTTACATCTGTTATGACACTCTCACATCTAATGTGTCATCCCTCTTATATTTTTATCACACATGACCATCCCCCTCCCCACCCTTTTTGTTTCTTCTTACATCTGATAGATATATCTATTACAAACACCCCCCCCCCCTCCTCACCCGACTTCTATCAGGATGCAACTCAAATCTGTTAGGTATCATGTAGACATAAACCTGATCACCGACAAGACCACACCTGATCATATGCAGGACAAACAGATAGGTATGCTAATGTCTCCCCCTGGATTCACCCAGCGACTGTCTTGGAGTGAGCCCTAACTGTCCTATCTGCCAGTTTGTGCCACCTCATCTCCGGCCCCGTGTTTGTTTTGGCCCGGCAACTCTAACCCGCGACTGACAGCGCCGATAGTTTTACTGTCGCATTTTAATAAGCCAATTATCCGTCCTTGTGTCGAATGTGCCAAACAATGTTGCCCCTATCTCGTGTGTCAATTGAGGGTCGATTGCCGCCCCTGTCAAAACGCGCTGGTACTGTCGATGGGAGCTGAGGAGACGCCCCTGAGAGACGTGGCCCTGGTACTGTCGATGGGAGCTGAGGAAACGCCCCTGAGTGACATGGCGCTGGTACTGTCGATGGGAACTGAGGAAACGCCCCTGAGAGACGTGGCGCTGGTACTGTCGATGGGAGATGAGGAGACGCCCCTGAGAGACATGGCGCTGGTACCCAACACAACACGCAATATTCGACACACAACATGAATTGCTTCACAAATAACATGCAATATTCGACATATAACATGAATTGCTCCACACATAACCTTCAATATTCGACAGATAACATGAATTACTCCACACCTAACACGCAATATTTGACACATAACATACTATATTCCACACGTAGCATACAATATTCCACACATAACACGCAAAATTCCACAGATGACAGTCAATATTTCACACATGACACTCAATATTTCAAATATAACTTACAATATTCCACAGCTAACGCACAATATTCCATTTATAACACACAATATTATATACATGACATACAGTGTTCTACAAATATTCCAAACATTACATAAGTATTTCAAACATGACATTCAATATTCCACATATGACATACAATATTCCACATGCAACGCACAATTTTCCACACATTACATACAGTAGATGTACAAGACGTGAACTGTACAAATCTACCTTCAGTCAATGAAACAGGTTGCGAAGACATCTGGTTGATACAAGACGTTAAGTGTACTATTTATCTCTAGTCAATGAAACAGTCTGTGATGATATCTGGCTGATAAAAGACTTCAGGTGTTGACTTTATCTCTAGTCAATGAAACAATCTGTGAGGACAACTCGTACAAGACGTCAAGTGTACACTTTATCTCTAGTCAATGAAACAGTCTGTAAGGACATCTGGTTGATACAAGACGTTAAGTGTACACTTTACCTCTAGCCAATGAAACAGTATGTGAGGACAGCTGGTGGATACAAGACGTCGGGTGTTGACTTGATCTCTAGTCAATGAAACAGTCTGTGGGGACAGCTGGTTGATACAAGACTGGAAGTGTACACTTTACCTCTAGCCAATGAAACAGTATGTGAGGACAGCTGGTGGATACAAGACGTTAAGTGTACATTTTGTCTCTAATCAATGAAACAGTCTGTGAGGACAGCTGGTGGATACAAGACGTCAAGTGTACACTTTACCTCTAGCCAATGAAACAGTATGTGAGGACAGCTGGTGGATACAAGACTTCAGGTGTTGACTTTATCTCTAGTCAATGAAACAGTCTGTGAGGACAGTTGGTGGATACAAGACATTAAGTGTACACTTTACCTCTGGTCAATGAAACAGTCTGTGAGGACAGCTGGTGGATACAAGACGTTAAGTGTACACTTTACCTCTGGTCAATGAAACAGTCTGTGAGGACAGCTGGTGGATACAAGACGTCAAGTGTACACTTTATCTCTAGTCAATGAAACAGTCTGTGAGGACAGCTGGTGGATACAAGACGTCAAGTGTACACTTTATCTCTAGTCAATGAAACAGTCTGTGAAGACAGCTGGTGGATACAAGACGTCAAGTGTACACTTTACCTCTAGCCAATGAAACAGTCTGTGAGGACAGCTGGTGGATACAAGACGTTAAGTGTACACTTTACCTCTAGTGAATGAAACAGTCTGTGAGGACATCTGGGTGATACAAGACGTCAAATGTACACTTTATCTCTAGTCAATAAAACAGTCTGTGTGGACAGCTGGTTGACTCAAGACGTCAAGTGTACACTTTATCTCTAGTCAATGAAACAGTCTGTGAGGACATCTGGATGATACAAGACGTCAAGTGCACACTTTATCTCTAGTCAATGAAACAGTCTGTGAGGACATCTGGTTGAAACAAGACGTTAAGTGTACACTTTATCTCTAGTCAATGAAACAGTCTGTGAGGACATCTGGTTGAAACAAGACGTTAAATGTACACTTTATCTCTAGTCAATGAAACAGTCTGTGAGGACATCTAGTTGAAACAAGACGTTAAGTGTACACTTTATCTCTAGCCAATGAAACAGTATGTGAGGACATCTGGATGATACAAGACGTCAAGTGCACACTTTATCTCTAGTCAATGAAACAGTCTGTGAGGACATCTGGTTGATACAAGACGTCAAGTGTAAACTTTACCTCTAGTCAATGAAACAGTCTATGAGAACATCTGGTTGAAACAAGACGTTAAGTGTACACTTTATCTCTAGTCAATGAAACAGTCTGTGAGGACATCTGGTTGAAACAAGACGTTAAGTGTACACTTTATCTCTAGCCAATGAAACAGTATGTGAGGACAGCTGGTGGATACAAGACGTCAGGTGTTGACTTTATCTCTAGTCAATGAAACAGTCTGTGAGGACAGCTGGTGGATACAAGACGTTAAGTGTACACTTTACCTCTGGTCAATGAAACAGTCTGTGAGGACAGCTGGTGGATACAAGACGTTAAGTGTACACTTTACCTCTGGTCAATGAAACAGTCTGTGAGGACAGCTGGTGGATACAAGACGTTAAATGTACACTTTATCTCTAGTCAATGAAACAGTCTGTGATGACAGCTGGTTGACTCAAGACGTCAAGTGTACACTTTATCTCTAGTCAATGAAACAGTCTGTGAGGACAGCTGGTGGATACAAGACGTTAAGTGTACACTTTACCTCTAGTCAATGAAGCAGTCTGTGAGGATATCTGGTTGATACAAGACGTCAAGTGTACACTTTATCTCTAGTCAATGAAACAGTCTGTGAGGACATCTGGTTGATACAAGACGTCAGGTGTACAAATTTAATTTCATTCAATGAAACAGTCTGTGAGGACATCTGGTGGATACAAGACATCAAGTGTACAACTCTACCTTTAGTCAATGAAACAAGCTGTTAATAATTTAATCAACTAACCTTTCACCTTTACATATTGATTTCACAATCCGACCTTTGCCCTGTAGAGTTGTGAGAAACAAAAGTGTAGGCTGGCAGAGCTTGAGCTGTAGAGGAACATGGAAACGCTTCTTACAGACCGGAAGCTGTGCCCAAGTCTCGCCGGCAAACAGTTGATGACTGGTTATTAGAGCCGTTTGTGGCTGCTCCACATCAATAGGGTTACTCAAATATTCTCAAATGAGGCAATGTTTCCCTGCTTGTCTTTGAACTGCTGCCCTAATGGCCGCATATCAGGAGATGATAGGCATGCGTTTACCTGTAGCTGCCTGGTGAATAGTGGTCTGTGTCAGTCAATCAAGGAGCCGGGTGCAACAGTTACACTCACTCAGGCGTGTCTCTGTTTGATACGCCGCCATTCTATGCTGCTTTTTATCTGGGGAAATTACCTATTGAATTTCTCGTCCTATTATGCTCTGTGTACCCCTTCGGCAGCCTGCTTGTCGATTAGCGCCACTTTGGTATCGTTCTATGATTTCTCTTTGCTCTGTGGCAGTTTTCTGTTTGTCCCAGACATTTTTTTTTGGGGGGGGGGGGGGGGGGGGGGGGGGGGGGGGGGGGGGGGGGGGGGGGGGGGGGTAGGGTGTTTTGAATAAATTGCTGTTGTTTGTTGGGGATGCCAGAGCGCATGCGTGCAGCTGCAGGCGTCGTGTGGACGGTAACTGTTAATGTTATTTAAGGAATGCGGATGACAAATGTCTTTGATTGCGGATAACTGACAACTGTCTTTGATTGCGGATAACTGACAACAGTCTTTGATTGTGGATAACTGACAACAGTCTTTGATTGTGGATAACTGACAACAGTCTTTGATTGCGGATAACTGACAACTGTCTTTAATCGCGGATAACTGACAACTGTCTTTGATTGCGGATAACTGACAACTGTCTTTGATTGCGGATAACTGACAATTGTCCTTGATTGCGGATAACTGACAACTGCCTTTGATTGCGGATAACTGACGACTGTCTTGGATTGTGGATAACTGACAATTGTCTTTGATTGTGGATAACTGACAATTGCCTTTGATTGCGGATAACTGACGACTGTCTTGGATTGTGGATAACTGACAATTGTCTTTGATTGTGGATAACTGACAATTGTCTTTGATTGTGGATAACTGACAATTGTCTTTGATTGCAGATAACTGACAATTGTCTATGATCGCAGATAACTGACAATTGTCTTTGATTGTGGATAACTGACAACTGTCTTTGATTGTGGATAACTGACAATTGTCTTTGATTGTGGATAACTGACAATTGTCTTTGATTGTGGATAACTGACAATTGTCTTTGATTGTGGATAACTGACAATTGTCTTTGATTGCAGATAACTGACAATTGTCTTTGGACGCAGATAACTGACAATTGTCTTTGATTGTGGATAACTGACAACTGTCTTTGATTGTGGATAACTGACAACTGTCTTTGATCGCAGATAACTGACAACTGTCTTTGATTGTGGATAACTGACAACTGTCTTTGATCGCAGATAACTGACAACTGTCTTTGATCGCAGACAACTGACAACTGTCTTTGATCGCAGATAACTGACAACTGTCTTTGATTGCGGATAATTGACAAATGTCTTTGAGGATAACTGACTTCTCAAATAAAAATTCAATGCCTTCAATTGTGGATAACTGGCAACTGTCTTTGAATGCGTACAACTATCAATTGTCTTTGATTGCAAATACCTAACAACTGTCTTTTATTGTGGATAACTGACAACTATCTTTGATTCCAGGTAACTGGCAGCTGTCTTTGATTGCGGATAACTGACAACTGACTTCTTGGATAAAGGTTAAATGTCTTTGATTTTGGACAACTGGCAAATGTCTTTGATTGCTGATAAAAACCTGACAACTATATTTGTTGATACCTGACAACTATATCTGTTGATACCTGAAAACTATCTATGTTGATACCTGACAACTATATCTGTTGATACCTGACAACTATATCTGTTGATACCTGAAAACTATCTATGTTGATACCTGACAACTATACCTGTTGATACCTGACAACTATCTCTGTTGATACCTGACAAACTATATCTGTTGATACATGACAACTATCTCTGTTGATACCTGACAACTATCTCTGTTGATACCTGACAACTATACCTGTTGATACCTGACAACTATCTCTGTTGATACCTGACAAACTATATCTGTTGATACATGACAACTATATATGTTGATGCCTGACAACTATCTCTGTTGATACCTGACAACTATATCTGACTCCACCCAACACCAC